AGTTTTATTTCTGATTCATTTATGTTTATTACTTTGCCGGATAACATGTTTTTAATTAAAATAAAGAATATTTTGTGTTATATATAATAATTACTCATTTTTATAACAAAATAATTTCAGCCAATTGTATTTAGACGCTGAGACGCAGCCGCTAGATCGAGACGCAAATTGCACCTACCCATAGTTGATTGATTATTTATACATATGTATATATTCACATACGAACATAAACTTTGAATAAAACTAACTTCTAGAACTCTGATTCGAACATATCTTATCTCGATACTTTGCGTATTCATTAGTTTATTTTTGTATAGCATATAACTATTGTGTGAAATATCAATAAACTTCAAATAAATCGCGTCATAATGAACGCGTCTCTCAGTATTTTCTGTTTTTCTCGTGTTCCGTTAGGATTTCACAGTGGGTGTTTTTTTAAAAGATGCGTCGCGAAATACTCTACAAAACAATACCTAAACTTTAATTTCAGACTTCAATCAAGAGAACTACGCAAATTAGACGAAAGGCGAAAAAAAATGAAAACTGCAAATTTGGTATTTTTCGACTTGAACTTTTTTCTTCTGCTATTATTTCCGTAAAAAAGTGTAGCAAGAGCAGAGGTGCCACATGATTAGGTCACAAAAGCGGAAACGCATTTTTCACCAAACGCAAAGAGTATCAGAAAACTTTTTTCTAGCGTTTTATCGTTGTTCCAATTAAGAAACAAAAAAGAAGTGCAAAACATTATTTAAATCCCAATTTTAATCGATATTGGCCTTTTGTGGATGTGCATTTTTGATCAGTCGTCATAAATTTCAAGAGTTATATATGGCAGGATAAAATTTAATTCGAAACTTTCCCGCCTACGACAGCACTTAATGGTTACACCTTTCTGACCGAGTTGGGTTGAAGATTTAGTATTTCACTATTTTTCACACCCTTTCAGCCGCACTTGAGACAAGCTAATGTTTTTCTGTTACCGCTCACTTCCGCGGCAAATTTCTGATTTAGTTCCCAAAACAGTGCGCATCCGTTTTTTAAAAGTTGCAAAAGCATTGTTTTCTCAATGTCTGGTAAAATTTAAGGCGACAGATAAGGATATCTGCCCTTTAGGGAATTTAAAGGATGAAGAAGGGTATTGCACCTTCTCCTATGTAGGGTAAAGTAGTTCTTTTTCTAGCTTCTCAGATTGCTTTTTAAGGCTTCGGTAATGCTGACTAGTGAAGGTACTACTTTACCGTATCCTCCTCTCTGACAGATTATTCAGCCGATTTTTATGAGAAAATGTAAAAATCTTCAATGTAGGAAAAAGGACAAAAACAAAAACTCCTGGAAAAGCGGATAAATTGCGGAAAAAACTACAGAAAGCGGAATTTGTCCGCAAAATGCGGATCATTTGGCAACTCTGAGCAAAAGTGAGAACTCAGTTCTTTTTGTACTTTTGAATGTGCTCTTTCTTGTGGTCTGTAAAGAAATTTTTGTAGAGCAGATAGTGTGCTGGAGAATGAAGTTTCAAAAATACGCCAGAAATTGACAACCCTCCGTGTTCAACAATGTGCCCAAGCAAGAAATGGAAACATGATTGAAGTTTCGAGCAATCATTTCTGATCAAAACAAAACAAATCCGATCGAAAAAGCTTTTGTTTTGATAGGGTTATGGGACTTTACTGAAAGCATCACTATACCCAGAATTAAAAAAGAAATGAAAAAATGCGTAGTCGTATAATTTGCGTAATTTTCTTGACTGAAGTTCTGAAATTAAAGTTTAGGTATGGTTTTGAGAGTATTTCGCGACGCATCTTTTAAAAAAACACTCACTGTAAAATCTTAACGGAACACGAGAAAAATAGAAAATACTGAGAGACGCGTTCACTATGACGCACTCTATAGAAACTTCCATAATTCTATAATCAATAATCATCGTGCGGAATATCAATTATACTCATCAATCCCATTTTAGATGAGCATTAATTTGGTATATAATTCATTTTTATATCAGCTCTATCCCCCCCGGAAAAACATTTTTTCCAACCCTGTACATTCTCATCTCTGTATCGTGACACTTATATTCGACACCTGTTTTGGAAACTAGATTTTACATATTAGGACATTTCTGAGACACTTCATTACGCGAAATAGTAGAACGCGTAAGTAACTTAGTTACTTCTGATATGAACATAGCGAATCCATTGTAGCATGTGGCATAGGCTTTACTCAGAGAAGTCAAGTAATTTTAAACTCTACTAAGTTTGTTTTTCTGATAAAAATTGCTGGAGGTTACATTTGTAAAATTAGACTTATTCTTTATGACATGAAGTAAGAAAGCCCTAGGAATCACGATATATTTATGTTCAGTCTCATATGAAGTTCGAGACATATTTATTTTCTTCTTTTAGTTGATTTGTTAAGAGAATAATTTATTAATAAGTTTACTATAAGTAATACCATTATCACGAATATTAAGAAAAATATTGATTTTTTATTTAGAAGTGTATAAAGATAAACAATCTAGCGTATTTTTACGACATATATTCGTTATCTTTTGAAATTTGGTTATATAAATGCATGAGAGTTTAGCAAAAACAATTGAATGGTAAAATTGATGCTTATTACAATTCAACAAAGTTTTTATGTTAAATTTGTCTTGTAAAAGTTAAGATTTATTGCTAGATACTGGAAAAGATTTTTTTCATCTTAATCGGTAAATAACTAAATAAATAACCATCTTTAATCAATGGTTCAACGTTCCCTTATAAATTCTACATTGAATGTCTATTGTTATACTGAATTTTTTTTTCGTTCTTCGCTTATTTATATCCCTTCCGTTATATTTATATCTTTTTCTATTAATACCCACGTACACATGTATACACAGATCAAAACTTTCGATGCATTATTTTTTTGTTTTATGTATGTAGACTGAGAATAGTTAGAGAAAGAATAAGTCATTAAGAATAAAACTAACAAGATCGTTATTTATCGAACTTTTTATCGAGCCATTTTGTAAAGCATTAACCTTTTTGTTTCGTTCTTCTCATCTTTTTCGTTATATGGAATATAAATATATATAGAGTATAGAACAGGGAGAAACAACAGTTACCTCGACAAAAAATGAACTGTACTGTTCTATCTCTATTCTGTAATCTCTAAGACAAGAGAAACAAGTGTGAGTATTTTCTCTTCTTAAGCTTGAACTTTATATATTAAAACTTTCTTCTTCTCACTTTGTGTTATTTTCATTAGTTAGATGAAGTATATTATTTATTATTATTATCTATCTTGTTCATAAAATGATTGTTTTTCTTTAAAATTATTTTTTGATTTATATCAGTCTTTGCAGTATTTTTATGTTAGAAAGCAGCGTTATTTTATTATTTTTTCACGAGCCTTCATTTATAGATAACATTGTCTTTAATAATTTTTAATCTATCAATGAGAGATCGTGCCTATTAATTGATTCTTTTTATTGAAAATCAATATTTTTTACCTTTCTTAAATCATTATGAGATTTTATTTTGTGACCAACACTCGTCTATTAATTTTAAATTATGTTTTCATTTTTTTCTAGATTTTTATATAAATCTTTTTTCCTCGTAATGTATTCGTGATGTCTTATTTTGAAATTTTTTATGAATTTTTCTTTAAAATAACTACGACTAAATAAAAAAAGAAAAAAAGAATTTTCAGTATGTGTTTTCCAAGACATATATCAGACACTGTAAGTACTCTATTGTCCATACACTACTTCTTTTCTTTTTCCATTCATCAATGGAACAGGTTGAAACAAAAAAAAAATTAATTATCGTTCTTTTTAAATGTCGTAGGAAGATCTACAACTTAAAAAATAGAAAAGGAAAACACACACACACACACACATCCCTACAAAAGAAGAGAAGGAAAAAAATAAAATGAATACATATTCTACAAGTAGTAATAATCAAGTCGGTGTTCAAAATAATTTTATTCTTAGTCAAAACCAACCATCAAAAGCACCAAAATTTAAATTATTTAATAATAAATCTCGACTATTACCAGTATGTGTTAAACCAATTCGAACAATAAAAACAGCAATATTTAAACATAGTAAAGTGAAAAAGAAAAATGTGCCATTTGTTAATTTAGCCAATGTGAATAATAATAAAACAGTGATAAAAGAAACAAAACTAAATAATTCAAATATGGCAAAAAATTTTGTTTATAATCAATTTAATTCATTATTTACTACTGATAATGATTATAATGAAACAAAAGAAGAACCTCTCGATTATTATTGTAATGATAATGATGATAATGATGATATATTTGATTATTCCAGAATAATACCATCAAATAATTCATATCGCAATAACAGTATTGACAATGAAAGTGATAGTGAAACAGGAATAGAAGAAATTAATACAAAAGAATTAGCACAACGAATTACAAATGAATTAAAACGTTATACCATACCACAAGGTAAGTTTTTAATTGAAATGTTAATATAATCATTTAGAATTATCTTTCTTTTAGCTGTCTTTGCACAACGTGTTTTATGTCGTAGTCAAGGAACATTGTCAGATTTATTGCGAAATCCTAAACCATGGTCAAAATTAAAATCTGGACGAGAAACATTTCGAAGAATGAAAAAGTGGCTTCAAATACCAGAAGAAGAAAGAATGACTTCATTAAAAATAGCTGGTAAGAATAAAATTTGTCTGTTTTACTAGTATCGATTAAAAATTAATGGAATAAAATGAAAAATATTTCTAGTTCTTTCTTTTTACAGAATTAAAATAATCAAAAAGAAAAAGATATTTGTTTACCGAAGTTGAAGGGTTTCTTTTTTTGTATTTATTTTTATTGTCTTCCTTTTCTTTAGCTTCTTCTTATGTAGCCTGTAAACGAAGACCGTATGACGATTATTCAACCATGCAAACAAACACTTTAAACTTAGAAGAACAAATTAGTAGTTCATTACCCTCACCACCTTCATCTACAACATCATCTTTGTCATTATTATCATCGGAAAAATTGAACAAAAAAACTCGTTCACGTCTTATTTTTACCGATATTCAAAAACGTACATTACACGCAATATTCAAAGAAACAAAACGTCCATCAAAAGAAATGCAACAGACAATTGCTCAGCAATTAAATCTTGATGTTAGTACAGTATCGAATTTTTTTATGAATGCTAGACGAAGATCAATGGATAAATGGAGAGAATATCAAGCATCAAAATCTTTAACATCATATGAATTTAGTTCACATTTAAAGCAGTAGTTAGTTATTCCAATTTTTTTTTTGGTATATATGAAATGAATAATATGTCAGATTTTTTCATTCAAATATATAAATTTTTTTGTACATATATATTGCTGTTTTTCTCTAACAAAACTCTCCCATTAAAACAGAAATGTGCACGTGCTTTAGCCAGGATATTTTTTTTTGTCTTTTATAGAGAATGTTTTTCTTTTTGTTCTTATTGTTGCTGTTTTTACACTTTTTGATATTACACTATTTTTAAATGGTTCTGTTGTTGTTTTTCCGCTGTTTATTTGCCTTGTTTCAAAATGATTTGTTGTTTTTCTTACTATGTATAGATAAGAAAAGAAAAATGCATGAAATAGTGTTTTTGTACTTCGTAATTAATATAGTAATTTTCTACAAGCTTTTAGAAATATCAAACAATTTGACGGAATAACTCGTGTAGACCATGATCATCGTAGAAATAACTAATACGTGCAAATTTTGTTAATTGAACAAAATGCATTAGAAAAAAAAAAGTGTTGATAAACATATGTCGTGCACTGACGCAACGATTTCATTTATATTCCTGTTCAGATTCTAGTTCTCTCTCTCTCTCTCCAACATAGCCTGATTTTCATTATTCTATTTTTTTAATTCAAAAACAAGTAGCGAAAATTGGCAAATCTACATATGAAAATACATGTTAAATAACGTATTACTTTTGTCTATTGAATAATACAAAGAAAAAATAGTGATAAGAACAAGAATGTAAAAACTTCATGATGAAGTATCATCAATTCTAGTTAAACACTTGTTCTTTGAAGTAGTAGTTACACTAAAGTCTCTACATACTATACACATACCTGGTGATAGTACTGATAAAAATGCACTGAATCAAAAATTATGTAGAGATAACGAACGAATGTCTGACGTTTCTTAAAATGGAAATATAAATTGCTTTGAGATAGCCAATATAGTATTAACAAACAAACAAACAAAGAACAGTCAACACACAAATAGTAGTTGTATAAAAAAAATTCGTCAGAAAAATGGACGGAAAGAGACAATTCAAACACTTAATTTCGAAAAAAATTCGCTCAAGGTGTTGTATCTCCACATAAACTGCAGCTACGTTCAATTCCCTAGAATTAAAACAAATATCAGAAATAATGAATATTATACAGTCAATTTGAATAAAGAAAAAGCTGAAAAAGCCTTTTCGCCCCTCTCCCGCACCCACACAAAGCAATTTAAAAAGCGAGATAGATTTCTAGGAAGATACAAACAAACTTTATTGATCGATTTTTGTCTTTTAAATCTTTAATGTTATTGATATCTTTAATAAGGATGACATTTCTAGACGATCATATAAAAAGAATATGTTACATACTTTTGTAGGTGATCGTGTTTCGGTACGTTGTGGAGAATAATTTCGTACAGGTGAGCGATGGCCGTTAGTTCTAGAAAAAAAATATATTATTTCATCTCAGATTACATTTATAGAATGTATAAATTTACGTTGTCAATTTTGGAGAAGTATTTCGAAAACGAGATTCTAAATCAATATGTGATGTTAAATCAGTCATTTTTCGTAATTCTTGTGCTGCTTTTTCACTAGAAAACAATAAAATTTCATCTAGTTAATCATTGAACAAAATCTGATAACGCATACCGTTCAAATCGTTCACTTGTCAATTGTCGTTTCAATCTTTCATTGTCTGTTTCTAAACTGATCACTTGTGTTCGAAGTGAAGCTATTTCTTTATTTTGATTTTGTCTAAAATTAAATAAATATTAAAAAAAAAATGACTAAATAATTTCTTACGAAATATTAATAATATAAACTTACACTTTCATATCATTCATATTTACACGATCTTTGAATAATTGTAATTCAGATTCTTTTTCTTGTGATTGTAACTGTAATTGAAATTCTTTGTCACGTGTTGATCCAATTAAATCTTCTAAACTTCGCACCATTGCCTTTTCATTTTGTATCTGATTTCGTAACATTTCAATTTCAATTTTCATATCAGATACAGCTGATTGAAGCTAAATAAAAAAATAAACAAACCACTTTTTTTTTAAATTACTATAATTATTAATCAGACTAGGTCTAGAATGATTTGCTTGAAAATTGATTCTTTCATTTATCTATGAATAATATATAATTTAATCACAACATTATTACCTGTTCATTTTCAATTTCTTTTCCTGTTAAATGTCTTGTCATTTGTTCTTTTTTCATTTCTAATGTTGAATTAAAATCTTTAATATTTCCAATTTCATCGGCATAACCTTGTTTTTCATTTTGTAATTTTTTAATTATATCTTCATTACGTTGTAATGAACGATTCAAATTTGATAACTGAATTTCATATTCTTGACCAATTGATAATTGCTATACAAATAAATATATTTAACAATAATTATATATTCAAAATACAAACAAAACTACCTGTTGTAATTCTCGTTCTAAATATTCAATTCGTTCATTAAGACGTTTTAAATCAGATGTTTTCATATTTAGTTCTTGTTTTCTATTCGATGTTTCTGCTTCTAATTCAGCAATAGTCATTTTCATTTGATTTAATTGTCCACTAGCTTCACGATATTGTTCAACTAATGAATTACGATCATGTTCCTATGTATTAAAAAAAAAAATGTCACTAAAATGCTGAATAACAAAGAAGAAAATAGTCTATTTACTTTTTGTGTAATTAAATCTTCACATTTTGATACTTCATTAATATAATCTTGAACTTGTAATTTCAAATTTTCTTTATCATCAATAGCATGTTCAAGTTCTTGATGAATAGTCTAAAATAAAATAGAACAATGTAAACAATTTATCTATTACGTCTTATTATTCTTGTTCTATACTTGATTTTCACGTGTTACTGTTAATAAATCATCTTGTAAACGTTTCATATCACGCATAGATGAATCGAGTTTACGATGTAAATCATTTGTATCTTCTAAATTTCGATCTAATTGCATACGCATACTTGATATTTCTTTCAATTTTTGTTTTGAATCATCTTTTGATCGACTAGAAAAAAATATTTATAAAAGAAAATCTTTTAGTGATGTGTCTCTATCTCACACACACATACAACTAATACATACTCCAATGCTGCTTCTAATTCAGCTGTCATCATATTTAATTCATCAATTCGTCGTGTTTTTGAATTTAATTCTTGTATTAAATGTATATTTTCTTCTGTTTTAATATCAAGTTCACTACATAAACGATCTTTTTCTTTATCTAATGTATTCACTGTTGTACGAACAACGTTAAAATCATCTTTGATACCTTTATTTGCCTCCTGTAAATCATCTGAAATACAATAAACATATTAAACTGTTGTTAATCTACACATAACGATTATCACTTACAAAGTTTTTTTTCTAATCTCAAAGCTTTGTCTTCTGCACTACGTATTTCTTCTTTTTTTAAACTCAATTGTCGTTGATGTTCTTGAACAAGACGTTCAGCTTCTTCAGATAAAAATCTAGAAAACAACAACAACAATAACAATGGATAATTGTAAGAATAACAGTAATTCGTCTGGCTATAATTTGTACCTTAATTGTGTTGAGGTTGACTTCTGATCACTTAATTCTTGATTCAACTGTGAAATATTAAACGATTGTTCACGTAATTTGTTTTCTAATTGATCAATTTGTTCATGTAAAACACGACTTTGTTGAATACTTTCTTCACGATCATTGTCAATCTTGAGAAAGAAAGAAAAAAAAACATGAAAGATATTCCAAAATATGATATTTCAAACGACTTACTTTTCGTATTTCAATTTCAAGATTTTCAATACGTTGTTCGTATCGAGCTCGTTCATTCAATGCGGTATCTGTTGATATCTAAATATTCAAGATTTAAGTAAGAACAGAAATTTATTCATTTCGAAAAATTATATATACCCTTAAACGTTCTTTCAATGAATCTCTCTCATTTGTAACTGCGCGTAACTCTACAATAGCATTATCACGTTCATTTTCAACTTTTCTTAAAATTGATTGAGCGGCAAGTGACACTTTTGGTGTCTGCGCATTCTGTAATAAATCGTGACGAGCATTTTGTAATTCTTCTTTTGTCTACAATAAGATATCAAAAAAAGATGTCAAATATTAATTGTGTAATATTTTAACATTCATACATACTCGATCGTATAGTACACTTAAACTATCTCGTTCATTTGTTAAAACTTTAATATGGCCTTGAATCTAAAAAAATTAATATAATAAAAGTTAAACTCAAGAGAACCAATCATGCTCACGTATATCAAGAAAAATGAAATGAAAATCGTTTTTACCTCAGCCATATGTCGTTCAAATTTATTTAATAATAATTGTAAATCATCTTTTTCCCTGAGAACTCGTGCTAGTTGTGTATCATCAACGTCCTATTATACAATAATAATAAATAAATTTATTATCTCTTCATATTAAAAATAAATTTTCTCTCTATACCTTTTCACGCGATGAACGAGATGAATTTTTATATTTATTTAATTCACGTTTAAATCGATCACGTTCATCTTCTACATTTCTTAACAAATTTTCGTAGTGACTTGAATCCTAATAGATAGAAGAATATTTTGACATTTTTTTTTGTTTTCTTTTATACAAAAAGAATTTGTATACCTTAACTGATGACACTCTATTTCTACTCACACCACACACTGTACATCTTGTTGGTGAACGTACGGGCGATGTACTAGCGGATAGAGAACGTTTAATAGGTGATGTAGCTGTGTCTTTTCGTGTTAAACGATGTTGAGGTGATGAACGTGTTACTAATTGTGGACTTGATGATCGAGCACGTGATGTAGGAGAATGTGATGTATGACGATGATGAAATTTTCCATCTAATAATTTTTGTAATGTATCAACTTCATTCTTGTATAAATCACGTTCATCTTCAACATTTTTTAAATGTACATCGAAACGTGCTGGTAATGATAATTTTTTAGTTGGACCACTCGATGTTGCTGGTTTTGTTGTACGACGTGATTTTTGTAATTCTTGTAATAAATCTTTTTCTATAAATAGAAAAGAAAAAGGGAAAAATACAAACATATAAGGTGCTAATAGATTGTATTTAACTCCACACCATTTAGTACTAATTTTGATAAACGTTTACTCAAACGTGTTTTATCCGTTTGAACACGTTCAATAAAATCTTGTAAACGAATAATTTCATTATCACGTTCAGAAGCTTGAACTTTTAACGTTTCTAGTTCCTCTAGAAGATTTTTGCGTTCCTAAAATAACGAAATGCGTATATAATTTCTGTTTTTATTATGAGCTATATGTAAGGGGGGAAAAGCACTACAAGACAAATGCGTCTATTCCGGATTCTGGCATACGTGGCATACGTCTATTGTGGAATGACATTTTGAATGATATTTCATTTTTTAGAAGCCGAGCTTAACCGTATGTAGACCAAGATTTAGACCAAAACTGATAAAAATTTCTTTTATTCCAGAATGACAGTCCACCATTCTAGAGTGGTATTCAAGAAATTTTGTATCCATTCCGGAATGTGCTTTTTACCCCTTATCTACATGTCATACCAAATTTAAATTGGCTATTTTGGCGTCTAATGATTCTAGTTCATGATGGTTTTGTTTTATTTCTAACTGAAAGCAATAAACTGTTAGCAATAAACTGTTAAGGATATGCAAAGGGGTATTAATATTAAATTAAATACATACTTTAGCCTCATTTAATTCTCTATCAGCTATTTCAACTGTATATTCTTTATCCGCGTGAACTTTTCGTGCTAATCGATCAATATCTTTTAAATCTCTTAATAGATCATCATTTTTTAATCGTTCCTCAAATTGTTTACTCGATAAATCACGTTTTAAATCAATTAATTCTTGTAAACGTCTTTCTAATTGACGATTTTTTTCGTGTAAATAATCAATCTGTAAGATGAGAAAAGAAAATACGTTTCTTACATTTATGAGTTAAGACCATCTCTAATTACCTGTACATTCTGATGAGCAATTAGTTTTTCATTGCTCTTTAATTTTGATTCAAGTGCTAAAACATCTGCCGATCGACCACCATCAAGTAATCGGCCTAAACGTTCAATTTCTCGATCCCGATTTTCCACCTAAATAAAAAAAAAGGAGATTATGAATTGTTTTATTTTTATCTCAAACTGTTATTATGAACATCATATTCGGTTGTATTTATGCCTTTTTACCCATAAGCAGCCGTTGAGGCAGATTATCCTAACGTTTTGAAAACATTTGTGCGTTAGTGATATAAAATACATCCCACATATATGATGAAGAACTTTTTCTGTACAAAAAGCTTTTATTAGATAGTAAGATTAAAATTGTAAGACTATTATTCAAACATTTTAGAATCTTATTAAAGATAAGCTAAAAAACTATTTTATTTTTATTTTAATCCTTATTCTCAGACCAATTTTCGTCATTTAACTAATAACAGAATTAAATTCTGTCCTGCGGATCATACCAAAATGTAAAAAGAACAACTTTTTGTTTGCCTTTCTCCATATTTAACCAAGGATAATTTCGAGTTATGAACATATGATAACTTAGAAAAATAGATCTATTTAGCCGATCGAACTGTGAGAGAAATTTTTATTTGTATAGTTAAGTACCAAATGGAGAATAAGAGAATGTTTAACTATAGTTTAGTATGGAAAAGAGCAGAATATAAATTTGAGAGTGGATGTGTGTTGTTTAACTTTTTTAATTTACTTTCTTTTATTTCCAATTCGTTAATTAATTTAGTTGCTACTGTAATGTTCCAATGCACTTTTTCGTATATATCCATAATGGCAGTGAGGAATGATTTAACACGATGCACTTTTAACTTTCACATTGTGCACATCTCTAACCTCCACAGTCTTATACAATAGATCGTAACGTATTAGTAAATTTCTACTTATAGAGGAGAAATACTTCATTAAAATATTACGACACACAAATATCGATGAATAAAAATACTGAGAAGCGAAAACAGTCAGATGAAAATAATGAACATGAATAATTAATAGCCAAGAATCAGAAACTCAGACAAAGTGACGATAGTTTTAGCGATATTAGAAATCAACAGGCTTAAGAAAAGACTTATTTCTATATCTATTTTCTTATTAACGTTTAGCAGGTTCAGAAAAAAAAAATTTTCTATTTTTTTTGTTTTGAATAAAATAGTAGAAAAAAATCATGCAACTTTTAAAGAAGAAATCCGATCTGTATCCCGTTCGGATGAACGCAAACCCGTCCCGAATCCGAACTAGAAAAAGTGTTCGGAATTAAACTCACAGGACTCTACTTCTAATTCTTAAACGTCTAGATTTTTCTTTATCTATTGTTTATTTTTCATCAGAAAGTAACAAAAAAATACATTTACGCATATTATTTCTATCAGAGCTCCATATAGATGGACTGAAAATTTTTTTTAGTTCATGGACTCGGACTGGAGTAGACTCAAACTTTCAAAATCATCGACTAGTCTGGACTCGAAAAAAATTTTGAATTCATTTTACTCGAGGAAAAACATGTTTTTGTATTCTGGACTGAACAGGACTACTTTTTTAGAGTCCATGGACTGAAAAAACCGTTTTTCATAGATCTGAACTGGACTTGACTCAGAATTTTGAGTCCATATGCAGCTCTGGTTTCTATGGAAAGGGGATCAGCAAATTTATCAAGTTACATCTAGTCTGGAGAAGTATCCTTTCTTAAGATAAAATACATAAGTTCTTATTTTCTCATTACTGGTAGACATCAACAGTTAGTTCTTATAAGTTTAAAATCGTGCGCAAACCATCGGGAAGCCTCTACCTTTTTGTAAAAATTTGTCTATAACATCAATAGTTATTACTCTACCAATTTAACTAAAAAGTGCCATGTCTACGATCACTGCTACAGTTTTACTCTATTTTATTTGCTCATTTTGGTTATCAACTATTTTATTTTGCACTACTGTTTTCTTTTCATGACTTAACGATTATCATTATTTTCATGTCAGAAAGTTTTACAAATATCTAAAATTTCAAATCAAGTCATGTATTTCTGCCAATAGTAGACACGACTTATGATTTTGCTGAACGAGAGAGAAAGTAAATCAAGTCATTCACCGTTTTATTCTGCCGTCATGAATAGTATAAATGACTCTGATTTTTCTAAAATAATTTAGAGAGTTTCTCTCCTTCAATTATACGAGTCATAGAAACTTGACTCGACGAAGTGGTCTGTGGTTCTTGACTCGATGCAGGTGATAGTACCTCAGGTTCAGAAGATATTTTTTTGACATTTTCTAACGGTCTAACAATTGATATTTAAATGGCAAAAAGTAGTAGGGTTACGGGTAGCAGTTAAATGCCTGTTGTTTGACCGTTTTTTGACATTTAAAAAAATCCTGGGTAGTTAATTAATAATGTTAAGAATTCATCATCACCATAGTGTAATATGTTACAAGTGCACATTCCAATTGAGCTTTAACATAAAATTCTTTTTTTTGACATTTGTCAGCAGCGGTGCCTATTCCCACCTAAACATATGAGATCTTTTGTATCACCTCAGAGGTTCAAGTCTTCAGTGTACCACCTGAAAAATGAATTTTCACAGCAAAAAAGCATCCTACCTACTTTTGTTTGAGACATTATACTTCATACGTCTTACAGAATAGACGTCTCTGTTTGCCAGTTTGACAGAAACAAAAAATTATTTTTATCTATCAGTTTGTTACATATAACGTTTATAACATCCGTTTTACACATTATCATAAAATTCGCGTTTCTAACACGAAAAGAAATCATTACAAAAAAAAAGGTTGAATGAACGTGGATTAATATTATTATCTTACAGTATATATAAATCATTAATATGAATATGAAATAAAACACTGTTTCTTACTTAAATAGATTTTCTTTGGACAATATTAATTTAGATACAAAAAATCTTTCAGTTCATATTCATTCAACATATTAAATCACATTCTCTACAATTTTAATAGTATTTAAATCGATCACGGTAACATACCTGATGTGATGAACGACAGCTTGTTTTTGGTCTTGATGACTGAGTCATCGACCGTAGTCTTGTCGACATTGTATGAACATTATGTAAATTAGTTGAACTAGACGAGAGAGGTCGTCGAGTATTTGTCGTATACATGACTAAAAGTCCACTATTTTCTACGTCATCTCAATATGATAGTCAGCTAATGAATTTAATCAAATTTATACAATTATCTAAAATATTTAATATTAGGACACGTGTGCAGAAGAACAATGAAAATCCAATTTAAAGAAATATTATTTTTTTTTTTTCTTGAAACGAGGCATCTAACACTTAGTATATGTGTACTTAACAATTTGAAATAGAAAAAATTGATCTTTTTCACAGCATGAAGTTTTTAAATGAACTTTGAAAGAAAGATTGAGAGAGAATGCCCCATAAACAAAAAAACACTTGAAAAAAGTAATTCGGTGTTTTAGGTATTTTCTTAACACAAAAAAAGAAAATAAATAAAACCTGAGAAGAATAAGAAGAAGAAGAAACTCGCTTATTAATTTAAAACATGTATACATATGGAAAAAAGAATGAATATTTGAGGCTTGTGGTTATTCACTTTTTAAAATTTAAAATAGTTGTCTTAGAAAAATTATTCTCAGTTCATATAAACAACTGCATTCATTGAGTGATATAAAAGATATTGAATACAATGTCGAATTAGAATAGTTCGAAAGAAGTAGAAAAATATTTTGTTATACATAAGCGGTAGAAAGATGAAGAAATACACAAATGAGTGTAATACTGACGGCAATGATTTACTATTTCGAAATAAGGTGGTCATTTTTTTCTTTTTTTTTTTATATGAAAAAAATGTCATAGTAACAAAATATTGCTAGTATTAACTGATACATGTATACAAACTTAGTTTAGTTCAACAACTCTTCTATACTAGCCACACTACTCAGTAGCAGACATACACATTCTCATATAACAAAAACTTAAATCGACTTGATATCTTTCTAACATAAAGAAAAGAAGAAAAAAAAAAAAAGTAAAAAGTTCCTTTAACCACATTCCATGAAGATTACAACTAATAGTTACATACTTTGAAAAAAATTTTTTTTTCTTCTTCTTCTTCTTCTTCTCCTTCCCGTATGACTTCACTTTTTATTTTTTCAAGTCTCATCCTGAATGATTGTTATTTGTTCACCGATATATTTTTTTTTTTCTTCTTCTTCTTCTCCACTTCTTCTTTTTCGCCTTTTCGTTGCGGTTTTACTTTTTCTCTTTTGCCATCATTCTCTCTCTTTCACATATAATCAGGTATTATAATGACAATGATGATAATTTTAAGCTTGACACTTATTCTTTCGAAATATTTTTGCCTTACAGAACGAAATATTAGAGAAGAGAATAGAAATTTTTCAAATGATAAAAAATAAATAAAATGTTCAAGTGAACATAAATCAAAACTCTATTAAAATAAGTACATTTTAAATTTTGACTTTTTCAAATTCTATATACTCAACTTCAAATCTGATTCATCTATGCTTTATTTGTCTTTCTATACTTTTTGTTTTTTTTCGTCTTCTTCTTCATCATTTACTAAAGTTGACTGATTCGATCATTAAAATAAAATATCTACATTTGATTCTGATAACAAAATGAAAGATTTTTTTGAACACTTTTTTTAATAAGAGAAGATTATACAGATTAAATAGTCACACTAAACATTCAATGTCTATTTCAATAAAAACGTGAAGATTTCTGTAATTGTTGAAAGAGTACGAACTTGTTAATTTAAAAAAAAAACCCATAAAACCTTTGAGTCCTAAAGAAACATGAGAAAAATAGAAAATATTGAGAGGCTACACCCGTTACAATTCCCAGGAATATGATAGGTGGAGGGCATTAAACAATATTAAAAATTTTTGCTAAAAAATAATTTCTAATCTAACCTGGAAGGGCAGAGACTAATAAAGAAATTTCAAGCGCTGCCAGAATATATAATTATTATTCTATTTGTATTTTCATAATAAATTCAAAAACCGAACTGAAACTATTTTTTTTCCAGGAGGATATATACGTATATTTATACACGTCTGTTATAGTTTCATTCACAAAAAATGAGTGTTCACGGTTTCTATAGCTCATATCAGTCACATGTGCGATATTTATGTATTCTGATTTAAAATAGATTTTAATAATGTATGCATAGAGCAGTAGAAAAATTATAGAATAGTTATTGATACCAGTCAGCAATGTTAAATAGAAAAATTTTTCAAAAGACATTCTATACAACAAAAGTAAATACGAAAAAAATTTATATTTATTTATCTGTAAATATCTTTCTTAAGATATGGAGAAGTAAAATCATATTCATTCTTAGCATCTTCAACAACAATTTCTTACATAGAACAAAAAAAAAAAATGACGATAATTATTTGATCAACGTTTCGCATACTCATAAACAACATAAACAAAGCCAAATCTTTGTCTATTATTGTTCTCTTAATTTCAGCTACCATTATTAATTGAACAAATTTGAGAAGTGTACTTCCTACAATATCAGCTACTACTACAGCTGATTTTTGTGATAAAAATATAATTATAACAGCATATTATTTCAATTGTATAATTATCTCAGCATACTTTTCTTTATGATGTATTGATTACTTATTTTGTAATCCAAACGTTATTACAAGGACATAAGGACTTTATTTTTTCGTCGTATACCAACAACTATCAGATGAATACTTATTTTATAACACCCAATAGATGATCTTCAAGGATATTGAAGAGATGCTGAATATTTGAAAAATAAGTATTCAAGTGGTCTGACACCACCAACTACACATTTCTCTTTTTCTGATAGCTCATGACTATTGCTTCTTTTTGAAGAAAAAAACGATCAATTTGAAGTTGAAATAAGACGACTGTTGTACTAATATTAAAAACTTATCTCCTTAGACAACAGTTGTCTATTACATCTGACAAATATTCATACGAATAACGATTTGATTATGCTCTTCGAAAGATATATTACACCCATAAATAGTTCAAAAGAACAGGTCGATTAAGATATGACAGTCTAGCAGAAAAGAATTCAATAAAGGCTAGTTAGTAGGATTAAGACGACTAAAGGTAAGCGTCCAAAAATGCCTAATACTTCAATATCTGTAATGACATTTGTGTATTGTATATGGTACATCTATAGATTAAATTTTGTAAAAACCATTTTAAAAATTGAAAAGATGTCGTGGTCCCGTCGCCACTTTTACCAATATATGCCCTTTGATACGAACAAAGCATTGTCTTAGTACAATATATCTGAAAATTCTGTGTACTATGAGTATCAAAGCTTACATATTTTTACCTGATATTTGTAATTCGTTAATTTTGTTTCTAGAGCTTCTTTTATTTCCTTTTGATTTTGTACATCAATTTCTAATTCTGCCACTCTGTCCTCGGCTACCTTCACCATGTCAATAATATATGGATCATCGATGTATGGTAATTGATAAATATTATTTTTTAATGACGATGGATTTTCTGGTAACATTTCATCAATATCAAGCCGTTGGCGTCGAAATGGTATGGTATGTTTATTTCCACCTAGCGGCAAAATAAGAAGATTTTTTCACCGTATTATTATTAATTCTTTTTTTAACTCATTACCTGGCGTTTGAACGACGGCTTGAAAATTTTTTTCTTGTAATTCAAGAATTTTATTATCTTTTTGTCGTGATTCTTTTTCCAATGAACGTAAACGATTTATATACGAAGTATTTAAAAACCGTAAATCTGCATTTTCATTTTCTAATTTTCTCAATTGATTTTTAAATTCTACACGAAAAAACAACAACAATAAATAAGTTATTGTGTATTTTTCTTTTCACACAGAAAGCGTAGAATACAACAAACCTTTCAAATTTGTATCAAATTGTTCACGACATTTGAGTAGTTCAAGATGAAGATCATTATTTTCTTTAATTAGTCGAACGTTGTCATTTTTATACGGATGAACTGGTTGTGCTAATAGAGGTAAATCCGCTGATTTATCAGCACTACTCGACGATTGTGGATTCTAAATAAACAAATAATAGAATTTGTTTACTTTAGTTGAGAGCTAAACGAAATTCTTTCATAAACCTTACTTCTCATGAAATCAGTTAAAAAAAATTAGAAAAACTCGAACTTTTATACTAGATCCAACCGTCTACTCTTGAATAAAATTTGTTCTTCCAAAATAACTCGTTAATCACATGACAAGTTTTACAAAGAAAAGATATGGTCATCAGTAAACTGGTTTTTATAATCTAGCATCATGTGAAAAGAGCATATTTATTTTAAATGAACAAGTTTTGCTTTTGACAAAGAAACTACGATTAGTGTAGATAGTGTGTTGCAATTTAACATTGTCTGAGCGTACTGTGAAGAAATTACATATTTTGTTCTGCGGCTGACAAATACATGAGTAGGTTTCGTTCTAACATCCTTCTTGTCAACAAATAGAAGTAGTTGTTTCGGACTTTAATATCGTTTATGGTCTACTAACATCTTTTGACTTTTTTAATGCCTCTGTTGTATGTATAAGATCTTGAAATAATTTTTCAACCAACGGTAAGGATTCGACGGCTAATGGTTGTTTATATCCAAATTGATCAAGTCTTTTGCGTAATGTAATGTACTTCTGTTCCGATGATGATGCCATAGAGACACTCATTGTTCTTGAACAGTATTCAAAATCTTGATTTGAAAAACTAGGTTCAGCTTGTTTTTATTCAGTCAGGATGAATGTAGAAAGCAAGATGTACTTCATCAACATAGAAATCAAAAGAAATCTAAAACTAATCAATGATGAATGCGAAGCACTCGAGACAAACAGATAGTTCTTTTTTATTTGTTTTTTCTAATGACATCTTGTGGAATTGAAAACACCATACACACTTAAAACCCTTTAATCATTACAAATGAGTTGCAGCGTGCAACAAAAAAAGGATCATTCTCTTTCTTCCTGCACCGAACTCTATGGCAAATTTGTCATAGGATTTCAAAGTCAGGAACATTTGAACCGTCGAATTTTAAACTTGGAAAGTGCTAACCAACCCAACCCAATCAACGATCTGATTTCCATTTTAATATTACAAATAGTGGCTTCTAGGTAACCGACAAAAAATGATCAGACTTTAGCAAAATCAATCTTTCTCTACGTGAATGAACAAAAAAATAAAGGTAAAACAAGAAAAAAAATTGCAGTACTAGATAACAATCCACAAACCGCTTCTTAGAAACAAGTAGCTGCTTGAACAGCTTTGGATATGTCGTCACTCTATTACGAACTGAACCACTGGCGCCTCACTCATCATCACTATAAAGCAACACGTTTTACAATTAAGCAGTTGTGATCGCCTATTTTCGACTGTATTCTTGTTTTTTCGATTCGACGGTTGCTCTTGCAGGAGAATACGATCTTCAGATACTGAGAGCGTACGACTGCAAACATGTAACGACATTGCGTCAGGACACAATTCCTTGAAATATGCTGCTACTTTAGCTGATAGAATCGCGACTACTGCATAAAAAGGCTCACGTATATAAGAAACTAAAACATTATCACATGAAGTGCCCATGGATTGTTTCGATAGTTCGCTCCAAAGAGAGAGATGGAGATACCATCCAGGTGAAACACGTCTTGTAAGACCTTACAAGATCTGATGTTTTCTTGTGAAATCTTGTAATAAGGTCTTACGATATGATCATACAAGACCTTATTATAAGATAATATAAGATCTTATGAAATCTTGTAACTTCTTGTTATAAGATCCCCCAAGATCTGGTTATAAGAAGTGACAAGGTCTTGTAAGACCTTATGACACGAATTCATATGATCTTGTAAGATCTTACAAAATCTTGTACCAGACATTGTTGACTTTTATATATTTTTTTGTCAGAAGAC